AGAAAAAAAGCACATTTAAAGTTGTGGCTAAGAAAGGAGTAGTTAACAAAGAGATTAGTGTCACTGAAAAGAAGTCAAGTACCTTATACTGGCACAATAGGAAAGATGCCCTGAAGGCATCTCAGAAATCTGCAAGACCCTACCTGTAGTAGGCTCAAGGGTATGAAAATATAAATCATTCATTTAAGAATAGAGCCTCTGGGTTCTCTGCTCACACAGCGCTGCCTAGGAATTTGTTTCCCCAGGATTTGTTTTTTCATTATCAGCTATTCAGGCAATCAGGAACCAAGGCAACCATAGTCCAAGTTGGCCCAGACTACTGCTCAAGTATATGGCAGACCTTGGTATCATTCACCTGATGTTGGTTTTGCAGGCATGTAGAATGTAAGAGTTGCAGGATCACAAAAGCTTCTACCCAGATTTCAGAGGAAGGATCAGAAGTCCAAGCAGTATGTGGCAAGATTGGAGTCCCTGTTGGTAACCCCTAGGAAGGCAAGGTATGAAACTATCAAAGTAAAGCTGAAGCTGCAGTGGAGATGCCAAGAATGAGGAATGTCTATTGAAGGAAGCCACAGGCAATGAGCAGAGACATCCTAAGAAAGCAAAGCCCAATATGGGTTGCAGTCAGCAAGGTCACAGGAGCTGGGCTACCCAAGCATTTGGGAGCTTATATTCCATTACCTTGTCCCAGACGTGAAGCTACAGGATCTAACATTTGGCCTGCTGAATTTTGGTCTTGCTCTGGTCTGATGCTTCTTTGGTATCCTTCTATTCTTCCCCTTTGGAGTGGGGAAAATAAGTTTCTTTTTTGACTTTTACAGGAATATACAACTAAAAGTTTTTCTTGAATCTTAAGAAGACTTTGGATTTATACTTATGATCAATGCTGGAACTGTTAAGACTATTGGAAAGTGTAGAGATAAACTGAATGCCTTTTTCATTGTTAGATAAGCATGAGCCTCTGGGGGCAGGGACAGAATATTGAGTTTGGATTTAGAAGTTCCCCAAAGTCTCATGTGTTGAAAGCTTAGACCCCTGCTAGTGGTGCTATTGGAAAGTGGAGGAAACTTTAGGAGGTGAGACCTTCTTGGAGGAAGTAGGGCACTGGAGGCATGCTCTTGAAAGTTGTATTGGGATCCTGGCTCCTGTCTCTCTCTCTCTGCTTTATGGCCACTATGAGCTGTGGTCTACTCCACCCTCCCTGCCTTGATGTTCTGCCTTATCACAGGCCTGGAAACAATAGAATCAAGTAGCCATGGATTGAAACCTTTAAAACTATGAGCCAAAATAAATCTTTCCTTTTTTGTTTTTCTAAGGTATTTTATCACAGTGACAGAAAGTTGACTAATACACCATCTGTACAAAATCTTTAATTGATTCCTTATTCACTAACACAAGGTGTACCCTATGGAGATATAGTCACCATTATTTGCAGAATTTTACTTCTGTTTAATGCATTCTAAATACCCACAGGAAAAAAGTTCAACATGTAATACAATTATTTTTATTTCTCTTCCTTTTCCTCCTCCTCCTTCTCCTCCTCTTCCTCCTTCTTCCATGATTCTACACGTAAACACCCCTTAGCCATTTTCTACTTCATTGCTTCCCTTTCTGGTACTCAACTCTATTTTATTTATTTTTTCCCATAAGTCTTATATTTTATTCTAATAATAATATTTAGCTTCTAAGTGCCTTTTTTCTGTTTTTTTTATAAGGAAAAAATTAGTTTGGGGTGTTATCCACCCTTTCATTCCATTTCATTTTGAATGATATTTATGTTCCAGAAAACTATTGGCAATTTGAGTTCAGTGAAAATAAGAAATAGTTTTTTTTTAAACAAAGAATACAATCTACTTACAACTACCTGAAGTAGTAAATATGAGGAGAGCTATGTTCTGAGTTGTGATTTTTAAATTGTTCATGGGACTAGAAGAGTCCTGGCAGAGAATTCAGATTACCTGCAATCCACAATGG